TTAATTAGATAAGTATCTGATTATTATATTAAATGTATTTTTCTACAGCATTGTTATAGTAAGATAGGTGTTAATTGATATTAGCGAGAGCTCGAAATTGCAGTAAGCGACAAAAAACAAATTATAAAGGAGAGGGGTTTTTTTGATAATTATACATGTAAATAGACAGGGCGCGCTACAAGTTTCCGGAACTGGCCACTTACATAAACAATATTTAAAAAGTAATTACAACATTTTAAAATGTAACTCTTTGGCTGTAGAATACAGTTTGTTTCATCTGACTGTCACTTGTTTTTACGTTGTGGCGTTATTTTAGACATTTGATGGTTTGCAGAATACAAACGCGGTCGTGTGAATCTCAGTGACGAATTTCGTGATGGTCGCCCGTCCACTGCTGTGAACAACAAAAACATCGATGCTGTGCGACGTATGATCAAAACAGACAGAGATTCGAGACATGATATTCGGGCATCTTTAGGCATAAGTATGAGTCAAATACAATCAATACTACACAAATATTTGGGTGTGGAAAAGCTGTGCTCTCGGTGGATCCCACACAATTTGACTGAGGCTCAAAAAACGGATCGCGTCACTTGGTGCAATGCCATGTTTACCAGATTCAACGAAGGGGCGTAAAATTCGGAATGGGACATAGTAGCAGGTGACGAAACATGGATTTATAGTTACGATCCCTAAACAAAACAGCAATCGAGCGTATGGGTCTTTCGAGATGTGTCGAAACCAATCAAAGTGGCGCGCGTGCAAAACGCCTCTAAGCGGATGATTGCTTCTTTTTTAATAAAACTGGACCCGTGGCTACTGTTGCTTTGTAGAATCGTTGTACCGTGAATAGTGATTGGTACACGACCACTTGTTTGCAGAAATTATTGACAAACTCCATAAAAATAACCGTAAACGCCATATCATCTTGCACCACGATAATGCCACTTCTCACACGGTCAGATGATACAAATGAGTTTGTGAAGGTGAACAACGTTGACCTTGTGAGCCATCACGCGTACAGTCCTAACCTGGCACCTTGTGACTTTTGTTCATTTCCAAAAATCAAGAACCAGTTACGCGGTCAACGATTTTTATCATCGGAAGACTGCTGTCGAAGTGTATGAAAAATATGTTTCAGAGATTGTCACGTGTTCCTTCGTATGAAAAAGTGCATTAACACTAACGGAGAATATTTAGAGAAATAATAAATTAATTTCTGACCATTTATAGCATTTTTTTCTTATTCATTCCGGAAACGTATAGTGCGCCAAACCTATGATAATAAATAGAATGTTAATATTAGAATAATGAATTTCGAGCGGCTTTCAGGCGTTTAAGGTCCCATCACAACACTTGCGATTAAAAATATGCAGCAAGGTGCAACACATTTTTTGCCACTTTTTTATAGCAAACGACAAAACAGTCGAAACTAGTGGGGCCACTTACGTTACGATTTTTTAATATTGATCAGTATCTATATTAAAAGCAATATCGGTTACACTAAAATATATAAAACAGTTGAGCTAATGATACACTTAGATTTTTCTATAAAAATTCTTTTGATGGAATTTTGGCGGAAAATGGCGACGCGTCCTTGTGCGTTATAGTTTAAAATATCATTTACAATAAAAAACGCTGTATTGATAAAAATGTCGCTTACAATAATAAGTCTGCAGTCATGACTCGACATGTAGTGGTGTGCCATTCGCATAAAAACCGCAAACACAAAATCACAAACACAGCCACAAATTCTCCTGTAAATACGCATGCTATTCCGCTCTCGCTTGTTTCGCTTCGCTTGTTCGTCCCGTCACTTAGTTATCATAAAATAAAAATAAAAAGTAAGCAAGGGTCAAAGCTATGATCCCAGTTATTGCCGCCGATTGCGCGTGATAGATTTTCGTGACAAATGTTGACGACAATAATTGTCAGTTGATTGACTTTACCATCATTTAGATATATAATACAGAATGACATATCTCAAAAACACCCAACTGCTCAAGAAGATGGTTTAAAAAACTGAGCTGTCACTGGCGTCGGTACTTTGTTGTCATATGATTGTTTTGGTCAATGGAAAGCTCAGTGCCTAATTCACAATAGAATGTAGCACATTCTAAATATGTGTGATATGTAAATATCATTATCACTATTTTGGCTTGTGTCATTATTCTTGAAAAGCAACGATATCCTAAATTTTACAAATATATAAAACAAAAAGGAGGGTTAGTGTATACTAGTGTAACGATGTCCAGAGTCATCGTACCACGATTGCGTATGACTAAGATAAACGATTCTTTTACGGGGAACTGTATATTCTGTTTTTACAATAAGATTCCGGAGCATATATTAAGATTACCTTTTCTTTAAAACTTACATTAAAAGTATTATAATGGAAAAAATCATATTAAAAATTAAAGTCTACGTAAATAAAGACATGAAAAGACGACATGACTCTAGATTCCACAAAAATTTGATTGAAAGTATATTCCATAGAATTTAAGTTTAATTCAGAAGAGCAACTAGACTTTCTAGTACGTTTTTCTCAGCACAGTGAATGAGCAATAGCTTAAAAAATAACGTTTTCAAGTCTACATTTATTTTACCTATGGATAAATGATATTTTCACTTTCACTTTGACTATATGAAATTGTCATTTTCGGGCGTTTAGTAATAACCATGTCATTTATTATGTATTTTTGCTTCAATATTAATAAAGTAACACTTTATAATACCCAATGTAAATGTATATTTTTGAACATCCCTGTTCTGACACTGGCGTGATTGGCATCAATTTGTAAGTTCATCAAAGCAAGGACTCAACAAGGAGCTTAATGGGGAGCCTTTAGAAAGTTATCGAACAAAACGTATACAACGTAATTGGATGGTGTTCCTTTAATTTAAGATATTATTTTACTTAACAGGAATTAATAATCTATAAAATTTACCCTTTTGATCGGAACCTTAAAAATACAGCACGTTTTTTTCTTAATTGGACGGTTCGATTCGAAGATGAGGCAAGAAACTTTTTAAGTCTGCATGCAGTATTACTTACCTTTAAAATTAAAATAACGTCTCTATTAAAGCAAGATTTTTATCTACAATATTTAAAGTATTTTGCCTCCGTGTCTCTTAGTCGCGGGATGCCCCATATACTGTCTTTAGTTATGGAAATACAATATATCACAATATATAATTAATAATCTCAGTACAGAGTACTAAAAAAATCGACCTCAAAAGTCATTCATCCCCTAGTTTGGCACCTTTAGCGGTGGAACATTTTCTTGAAATTTAAGTGGGTGTAATGTAAAACCACTACCAGATCAGAGGTACCTTCTTTCTAACAAAAAAACAATCATCAATTTCGGTTCACAAATGAGTTATCGCGTAACATACATACAAAAAAAAACATACAGTTGAATTGAGCCTCCTCCTTGTTTGAAGTCAGTTAAAAAGGAAAATTTTATTAAAAGTAATGTATATTTTTTCGAATCTAAATGGCACATTGTTTGATTTGTACATTTGTTTTTTTTAAACAAACTAACTTTTCGGACCCTTTACGAGTCCCATGGTAGTGGCTGACTTTCATGGTCATTGGACCTGTAAAGGGCCCGAAACGTTAATTGGTTTGAAAAAATATATTTACGCGATTTAGATCTGAACAATTGTTTAATTTTTTATGCAAAAACCTAATAACTCGTAAAAATTGAATATTTTTATTTTACATATTTAATAACATAAATTATTTCAAATATAAAGGTAACATAACCAGTCGAAAGTGTGTCGAACTAACTTATAATAGGGTGATGTAGTCGTTACATAACTCTTACATTCATACTCCGTTTTACTTTTTGGTTCACAATAAAGGCTGTCTTTGTCAAAATGTTGCGCAATCTATAGAACGTTAAATCGCGTAACAGCGTACCTTCGCTACAATAGAGTTTTAATTAATAACTGAGAGGTACATTACGGATGTTGCAATTCAAAAAATGATAAAACCCAATCAACCTGCCCGGAATTTAATCAGGTTTACCTAAAGGTTTTAACCCATTTCTGCCCAAAAACGTGGGAATACGGGATTGGTATAATTCCATTATATATTTAATAATTGAGATATTACAAATTCCTATGTAAAAAAATCTTTTTTAGATAAAAAAGAGACAACTCTATACGTTGCAATCCTATGAATTTTCACTATTAAGGATGTACATATACATATATATGCATATACATTGCAAGTGCATACAATGTAATAATGTTTTTAATGCAAGTTTTAACTGAATCGACTCAATACAAAAGGCAAATCGAATCGTCTACATCAGAAAGCAATAAATATTCTATAATTATCATTAAATTTGAACAGATCTCTATTTACAACAAGTATTTAATACTCTACTACAACTCTATTTGCAATAAATTAGTTAAGGCATTAATGGATTTTAATCCGATTTAAACCCAATTAAAAACTGCGTGCTTGCCCATCCCTGTCTAGGGGCCGCCCTAAAACTGACTTTGACAGAAAGCATCTCGCGACTGGAAGCTAATTATGAAGCTTTTAAATAACAAGCATTTTTCGGACAGATGAGAATATTAATGAACAAGGTTAGAAGATTACCTGCCTATTCTAATACAGTGTATTTTATAAATGTATTTTATAAGAGTGCAGTAACTATGTCAAACCTGTTCTCGAGAAAAACGTGGTTAAAGAAAATAATTTAAAATTTACTCTAGGCTTAAAACTACGCAAGTTACAGCGACAGGGCCATATCATATCAATAGAAAGAATGAGGAATTGTAAGGTGACACATTTATATACGTATGTTAAGCTTATGTATGATAATATTTCAAAAGTATACTTATATTTGTAATTTGTGGAAATAAATACATTTTATTATTATTATTATTATTAAGACTTGGCTGTATGGTGTAAAACCTTTTTCCTTTTCCTTTATGGAAAGAAGAAAAAAAAAATTAAAGATCATATTTGTTTTTTTACTTACCAGCGTTAACGAGTCGCAAGAGCAGCGAGAACGCAAGAGCGACGACGGCGGGTTGCGCGAGCGGCGCTCGCCGCATGTCGCGCCCACCCCACCGCTCATGCCATGCCGCTTCTGAAACAAACAATGACAAACGTTTCAAAACTACAACCGGATGGCAAATACGAATCACTTGTCAAAAAACATATAGTAATAATCGACAGAATAATGTCAAGTGAGGCAATGCCATTGTTATCCACATTGTGTTTGTTCACTTTACACGAATTGTCGTCGTATAAATAAAGACTATTTTGCCTTGTCTTTTGTCGTACACAAAAAGCAACTAAATGTTATATTAAAAATCCCAGCATAATAGAAGGGCAAAGAATTCTCGTACAAAGATCGTTGAACCTCAGCAGTTTACCGTTTCGTCTTTAATTCAACCGAGCTAAGCTTTTGTTTTGCGGATCTTATCGTCCTACATACGAGTACACTTAAATAATTTCTATTTTTATTATGATATACGATTTGTATATAGATATGTGGCGACCTTCAGGTGGAAGGTACAATAGTACCTCGAAAGATTAGGAAATATTTAACCACGCAGGTGATCCGGTCGCAAAGCAGTACTTTCCCGCCGCGTCACCTTGGATTACGAAAAGCGTGATACATTTTCAAGAAAGTATATAAAGGCTACCTTTCATAAGGTATCCTAAGTGTAGTCATAATAAATGACATTAGAAGTTATTAGATGTAGGTCCGACTGGGGAGTATGCTCTGCCGAGCATATCTGAGTCCACTTAGTGATATTTTAATTATGCGTAAATATATCTAAAAATAAGTACCGTTCATCTACTATGTGCGTCTATGCTTCAACTTCTCGTTGAGGTATAGACACACAGTTAAATGGGTTTCAAACTTATAACTCCCCTCTTTCCGTTGGCGATTACAAAAGAGATTGTTAGATAGTTTTACTTATGCCAACTATGGATTACGTGTTATAAATTCATGAATATTACCATTATAATACTTTATTTAAGATACCAAGAGTCGGGTAAACAAGACTTGGTGTTAAGCGACACGCCTGTCCATAACAGTTGCAGTGTTACTCAGAGCTTCAATCGCAAAGATTTTACGTAGGTATACTACCACTGCGCATATCACCCTGAGACATAAATTGACAAGTCTCATGTGCCTGTAATTTGTATTTGTATTGTATTTGTATTTATTTATTGTCATACGTACATAGTCAGGTGTTACAAATGTGTTACATTACGACTAGAGTGTAGTACATGACCCTAAATAGGGTACTGCAAGTCAAAATGTTGAATACAATATAAGAATGTTAATGCAACAAAACAAAAATTTTGAATAGGACTTGAGAGGCGTAACCAAATAACATAACCTCCGGTTAAAAAAACCGACCTCAAAAGTCATTCATCCCCTAGTTTGCCACCCTTGAAGTGGAATATTTTCTTGAAATTTAAATGGGACCACATTCTGAGGCACCGTCTTTCCAACAAAAAAAGAATCATCAAAATTGGTTCACAAATGGTGGAGTTATCGCATAACATACATACAAAAAGAAAACATACAGACGAATTGAGAACCTCCTCCTTTTTTTGAAGTCGGTTAAAAATGGCAAAATTTAGTATTGATATCGAAATAAATTTTAAAACTAAAGGAAAAAAGTCATGGAGAAGGTCGAAAGTATATAAGAGACCCCCCACACTAGCGTCTTTCAAGCGTTAGCGTCTTGCCAATGACACGACGGATTCGCGCGGCGGCGGCGGCGGCGGCGGCGGCGGCGGCGGCGGCGGCGGCGGCGGCGGCGACGGCGGCGACGCCATGTAAGCGCGGCGTACACCCGACGTACACTATTTAGTGGGTCCGACATTCGTCCGAAACAATTACTATCAATAAATAATACTCGACTAAATCAAAGAACGGGAATAGACCCCGCCGCCGCGCGGATATTGACAATGCGTTGATGCTCGAAAGACGCTAGTGTGGGGGGTCTCTAATTTATGTGTTAATTAATATTATGAAGTCGTCAGAAATTACATGTATACTCAACAATCAATACTTTATTGCATTCCCAATAGTTTACAATGTAGCAGGTGGACACGCTTAAATTAGAGCTTTGGGACCCTGTTGGGCACAGCAAAAACACACAGAGAGGGCAACATTTAAATTAATTATTAAGTATTTATATTTTGATTCATTGTATTCATTTGGAGTGTAATTGTTGAAATATTTATACATTATTTTATTATTTATTTACGTGCTTCTCAATTTAATAAAAGCTTTTTTAAATTTTTATTGAATTGATATTCAATCATTTTTTTGTGAAATTGCTCCACTAATCGAACACTCAGAAAAAATTCCTTCGATCGATTTATGATTAAAAAGTCGTTGAAAAACCAATTACAAAGACACGACGCAAGCACATAGAAAAATTCGTTGGGTCCGTTGATTCGTTCCGTGGCTTAGTTGGTATAGCGTCTGCCACGGTATGCAAGAAGACGTCGGTCCGAATCCGACCGGACCGAAGGAATTTTTTCTGAGTGTTCGATCTTTGTATTAATGATTACAACAAACTAGTGAAGTAATTATAAAAAAATAATTGAATATCAATTTAATAAAAATTCTAAATTATTTATTGTTCTTTCCACCTTAACAATACAAATTACAGGGTATTTAAAGTAAAGAACATCATACAGTGAAATTGTGAGGTGGAAGACTGATGCCTAAATTAGATTGGACCTGTTCTTATAGGTCACCAGGTATCCACCACCGGATCTCAATGATACAATATTATGATGTTTTTGACGTTACTAAGACGTTAAGGGTAAATTGGCGTGATGATTTGAAAATACACTATTTATTTGTTATATTGAAAAAAGGTAGTGTGACAAATTAGTTTCAGTAGAAAAGTTAGTAAGTGTGATAAGAAAGTGATTATATGTAAAAATTATGCGTGAAAAGTACTATGTATAATGGGTTAAGGGTTGTACAGTGCATGAATGTGCGCGCATGTGCGCGCGCGCGTGCGTGCGTGCGTGCGTGCGTGTGTGCGTGCGTGCGTGCGTGCGTGCGTGCGTGCGTGACTGTGTGTGAATGTATATGGGAGAGTGTGTGTGAGTGTGCGTGCATGCGTGTAAGTGTGATATATATGTGTCTGTGTGACGTGTGTCTGAGTGAGTGAGCAGAAAAGACTGTGAAACATTTAATAGAGGGTTGAATGAAAATAAATAAAGGTACATTTTTGGGATTTCTATCAAATTGTATATATAACGTGTGAAGCTAAACAATTACGCTAAGGAGTTTCTCAGAATCCTCGTAGGACAGGTTTCATAACCACTCGGCAACTTTTGTCTTACATTCATAAGATGACAATGGGTAGATGTTAACATGGCTGTTGCATGAGTCGTACAAGTACGGGCCCAAGAAATTAAAGAATTTACGGGCAAAAGAGGCCTTTGGAGACGATCTTTTGCAAACCATATAGTGCCTACGTATGGTTTGTTTAAGGGCTGGAGCGCCGCCCCAGGACATAATTGAATAGGTCAAGATGGATTGACACAGGGCGTAATAAACAGTCTTGAGCAATTTGAAGTCTGCGATATGCCGGAGATTTTTAAATATGTATATTAATTTTCGAGTTCTTATTTTCAGGAGATTTATGTGTTTATCAAATTTAAGATGCTGGTCTATAGTGACACTCAGATATTTTATAGAGGCAGTGCGGTTAAGGTCAGCGCATGTGCACTGTCCTTCCATGTCACAAGCGTGTGCCAGCAGTCTGCAGCTTCACCTCTACTAATTCCGAATCTCTTGGCACGCTTTTCAACTGAATCCCATATGGCAAGTTGGTATTTAGCAGAACTATTCCATACATGACCGGACTTGTACTTGCAAATTGGAACCTTATTTCCAAGGCTTATAATATTATTATCACAATATTGTCCTTTAGCATGAGGTATTGTTACAAAGCATTCTCAAATGAACGTAACTTAGAAATTAAATTCATGGGTTCATTAGCTTAGATGTCTACTAAAGTGCTTGTGGTAAGCAAATAGTGAGAATAATAAACCTACGTAGGTCGTTACTACACTTATCCTTACACGCAAAACACAGGTCAAGGTTGATTATTAATATTTTAGTAAAATGTAGGTTTTATGTTGAAAAATATGGGATCCGCAGCTGAGCTGGCGGAATTTTGATATTAGCATGACTACATAAAGGGGAATATTGCTAACATTAAACGCACCCTATCCCGAGAACATAATGCCATCTATTTAGTTGTAGCACTAGTTTTAAAAAGCTTTTAATGTACATACCAATGAATACGCAATTAAATACTTTAAGAACAATTTGGTTTTTTTTATGATACCATGTGTCGAACAACGAACAAGTCGTGCGCCTGATGGAAAGCGACACGTCTGTCCATAGCTGTTGCAGTGCCGCTCAGAGCCTTAAATCGCAAAGGTCTGAGACTCACTCCCTTTGTGATCGTTACCCTGAGACATAATTTGACAAGTCCCATGTGCCTGTAATTTCACCAGCACCCCTACCCTTCAAAACTAGAATACAGTAATGCTCACATAACTGTTTGGCAGCAGAAATAGGTAAGATGGCAGTATTTTCCTGGACGAACTCTTTCACAAGGAGCCGTTACTAAAAAGTTCTTGTTTAGTCAATGACAAGAACCAATGAAATAACAAACCAATTAAATTTCTTTGAAAAATAATAAAATTTGCTGGTGCATTGGCATCTTATTTCATATTATTTATTTGCAAGTCACATAACATGTAATACCCCGTAATGGCATTAATTGCATTAAAGTCTAATTTCTGATATAATTAAATATATTGAGATAGAATACCTACATTACGAATTCGAATAGTTCTTAAGCATTATTTTCTAAAAAGAATTCTCTTATAGAATAAAAAGTTTTTCTCTGAAAATTTATTGCTATTATTATGAGCTATTTCCCGATCATAATGCTATAACAGCCACATGCAGTTGCGTCACGTCTGAATGCTGCATTACAATTATAAGCGCATAACACTCTTTGCAGAAATTGCTATTCTGTATAGGAAAATATAACTCGTTGTTTTAACAAACTAAAT